TCTATCTATCTATCTATCTATCTATCTATCTATCCCCATCCATCCATCCATCCATCCATCCATCCATCCATCCTTGCAAGGTTGGGCAACCGGCAGCCATATGATTGAATATCCTCTTAATCCTAATTTAAGAAGCTTTCTGCAACTCGTTAGATCAAACCCCTAGGAAAAGCAATTCATGCTTTGTCCAGCAGTCCTCTGAGGGAGAAGGAAGAGAGAGAGAAAATGGGAAATTCAAAGAGAGAAACAGAAAAAGTGTGCCCCATTCATGTTGGATTTCACCCTATCAGCAAGTGGCTACAATGGGACGTGTTCCCTGATTCATTAGAAGGTCCTTCTTTCGTAATAGTTCTGGATCCCAGGAAAGGGGCTTTCATGATTCTGGAGGATGTAGGAAATAATTCACCCAATCTTTCCTTTTTTATCCAAATAGCTAAATTTACAATCCCTCTCACAAGATTGGAAAGGAACTGTTTTTGAAGAAGGTGGAACACTTGAGTAGAACAGGCATGTCACACTTGAATTGCATTGGTGGTATATGTCCCACTTGAAGTGGTATATGTCCCACTTGAATTGCATTCATGATGGCAGAGAGTTCAACAGAGCTCACCAACCCTGCTAGCCAATCTTACCCTGAGGTGAGATCAGGAGTATTCTTCAGATAGCAGATGCTAAAAGACAGTGAATGGTCCAATCTGTGTCCTGTGTGCTATAACTTACCCTGTTTCCTTGAACTGCAATGACTGATGTCCAGTCAAAAGAGTTGAAATATATTTCAACCTCTTCAAATGTGGTCAGTTTTCATATTTGGGTGGATGAAAATTATTTTTAGTTCCTCTTTTCCCATGTTACATATCTAGAGAAATGGAGTTACTTGTCATGCCTCTACTCCTGTACTAAGATTCGCTAACTGCACATCTGTCCCTCCACAGTGCAATGCTGAAGGCCCCACCTGGCCTGCTAGTTATTGTATTAAGCAGCACTATGAGGACAGTAAACATTTTCAGTAGTAGCGCAGCACACGATCAGCTGTGCCCACAGCAACTGCAATGATGCCAAAATAACAACACCTGTCTGGTGATGGGTCCCAACATCTGATGCACATACATAAGTCACCGCATTTGCATGACAATGTCATTGCACACATTCTGTCATTCCCCCATCCCGTATGCATGGATATGTGCTTCTTCCATTTAGGATTAAAGGAAGCATCAAGCGATTTCTCATTTTACCCCTGGCTTTGATTATGGGAATGTGATAGTTGTTGTAATCAGCTTTAATATAGAAGCAACCCAGCCAGAACCTTCCCTAATTGATTAATCAGAGACACTGGTTGCCTGATAACAAATTGCTTGCTGTTAATGACAAATATCATAATATGTCCATACTATAATCATTGATTTTTTTTTCCTCAAGCTTATATAGAATTAACTGTCCAGATTCTAATTGCCTTCAAAGAGTTGGCTAGGGGGAGTTCACATATTTTGTACATTGCAATCAATATTTTCCATCTCTCTGGAAGGCACTTTTCTTAATTTACTGGACTTTCCTTTAGCATTTATTTTGTCTCTTAATTATAAAATGGCATGTTATTGATTTTTGGCATGTAGTCTTATGGAGTTCCCCCAGAGCTATTTTATTGCCAGGCCTGGGGTGAAGGATTTGGCCTTACTAATGAGAATCTTTATCACCATTAGAATGGTATTAATATGGGGCATGAATTATCATACCTTACTTTTGGAAGGTAAAGTTACCTGGTGAACATGTTCTTATATATACTTATTGCAGATAACTATTTGGAGTTATCTATTAATACTGATCTATTAACCCTGACCTTAGTTTTGGGTCTGTATTCATTCATATTTCCAAGCACTGTCCATTTTCAGAGGTTTTCAAAGCTTGTGGCAAATATATCGGAGGTCATGTGAAGAATGTTATTCCTTGCACCACGTTCCTCTTCCTTAGCACATCCCTGGTTGTGCAAATAGGTTTATAACCCAGTTTTCCCACTCAAATGTAACTGTATTACTCCTGCCAAGGTTCAAAGCCAGTGGTCAGGCTACATTAGATACCATCTGGGCGTTGCCATAATCCAGGGTCCTGTAACCTTTTCCAGGCTGAGGGCTTCTCCCACTCTCATTCCAAAAAAATGGGTGCAAGCAAGTCAAAGAAAATGGGCAGAGCCAAGATGTAAACCACATCTGATTTAAATTAAATTAAATATAGCTCATAGGGCTATATTTCCCTATCATTTAATCATTTCTGTCACTCAGAAGTAAATTTTGAAGAAATGTAGGACCTATATCCCAGGCCTTAGGTGGTGATGTATAGTCCTGGAAACTCAGATGGTTTATGTTTGCCCTAGAGATCTGGAAAAAGTGGCTTCTTCCACATGAGACCCTAAGATAGCTTACTGGATCAGGCCATGGTCCACCTTAGTGCAACATTTTGTTTCTCACAGGATGAACCAGATGTCTCTTGGGTGTTCACATGCAGCTGAAAGAAATATACCTGTCTCTTTAGTTGTTATTATTTGAAGTCAGCTGCCTTAACTTAGAAATAATACAGAATCTTCATGAGTAATAGCTCTTGACAGACATGTTCCACCATGAATTTATCCAATCCCTTTTTATTAAGAGGGTCAGACCAAGCTCATATTAGTTTAGCATTTGTTTCTCATGGTGGCCAAGCTTGAAAGCAGAAGACAGAGAACTGGTCCCCTCCACCACTGTTCCCCTGCCAGTGGAATTTGGAGACATCTGGAAATAACTTTGTATCATCATGCCTAATAGCGCTCTATAGACTTGTCCTCTATGAATCTATCCATTGCTCTTTGAAAGCCATCCAAGTTTGTGGCTATCATGGTTTGTGGCAATGAATCCCACAGGTGATTAGCCACTGGTGCTGACACAGAAGATCACACAGTTTAGCAGCTTCCTGGAACTAAGGTCATAATTTTGAAACGTGGAATACATTTCCTGAGTGATTATTAAAATCAAATCTAAATCTTATCACTGAAATTGCCCCTTATAGTAAGAATGTTACACAGAAGCGAGATGGATTTATTTATGAGTCAAAATTAATGTCTGTAGTAAAGCCGCAAATTTAGCTAATGAGAAAATTTGGTACTTGTATACTGTAAATCCACTCAGGTAATTCAGACATAACTCATTAGAAAATAAATGGCTGAGTACTGGTCTGGCTAAATGGGAATTATAAATAAAAGTCAGTTTGCTGTTTGGTAACATCCAGACATCATTGTTCCAAAATCGTATTAGTAATTCGTACAAGTATTAATTAATATCTAGGGAAAGAAACCCAAATAATCAATTTTGCTTTAAACTTTTCC